TTCAAGTTTTGGCATTAACCCCGCCCAGTCCCCGACAGGGCATAAAAGGCGCCCCGAGCGCACACTCAGCAGTTCCTGTTTTTCCGCCGCAAGGCTTACTTCAGAACTTCTGCGATGTCCACAACTCAATTCAAGCACTGTACGCAGTGTTCCAGGAAGATTCCAGATTCGGATAAGCACTCTTTGTGCCTTCTTTGCCTCGGCGAGGCTCATATCGCCGACTCCGACAGTCTCGGAAGAACCGAGTTCACCGCCTGCGGTACTTATTGTACCAGCAGTCTTTGGCACCAGCACCCTCGATGTCGATGGTTCGACCATCGGCATCGACATCAACTGCACAGCCGTCAACCTCGACAGCAGCATCGACTTCTCAACCGGCTGACCCGCCCTCACAACCCGCAACTCGCTGAACAAAGGCGACTAAGGTGGCACAAAAGAGACCTCGAGCGACCACATCGACGACGTCAAAGACCACGAGACCGGCCAAACAGGTCAAGAGGCCTTGTTCGGTAACTACTGAGACCGTACGTGTGTGCCATTCCTCAACCAGTTCTGTGGCTTCGGTAAGGTCGACAACAGCTACTCCACCATCATCAACGGTGGTTCGCATTGCCTTTCGTCGGGCCCGGGAGGAATCTCGTCATGCCGCGACCTCCTCCTCTTCGGTCCCTCCCACGCCAGGCAAGTCGCTCTCAAAGTCGATGTCGACTCAACCCCCGGCAAAGAAGAAAAAGATGATGCCTCCTCCTTCTTCATCGTCCTCTTCTCGAATTGGTCTTCGCCAATTCAGTCGGCCCAGCCGGAACCCCTCCAACAGCCATCACAGGAGGAGCAGTTGCCGACAGGTGCCCGTAGAGCGGCCAGAATCCCCAGTCATCTCGCTGGATACTGTGATAGAGGCACCCAACCGGCCACCTGGACTTACTGCCACACAAGAGCTCTTTCCACCCACGGCGACACCGGAAAGGGGGAGACAAATGGCCAGACTGGCATGTGCTGCTCAGTCTTCAGCCTCCAAACAACCCCCAACCCCATCCTGTCTCCGACTGCCACCTCCTCCTCCACCTTCACAAAACCATTCCTCGTCCTCCCCCCTCCCTCTGAAGCGGAGGAAGAAGATGAAGATGGAGAACTTGCTGCCTCAGGCTGGGTACTGTCCCTCGGTAACGAGAGGTCCCCTACCCACTATGCCTACGAGGCCGACCCTCCGTCGCCGACGGACAATATCAGGGCCTTCGCTGACCAGATGGCCTGCATGGCAGACACTTTGGGCCTGGAGGTTAAACACACTTCCAAGGCAGTTACTGACCCAGTATTCAAACGAGTTCAGTCGGAGACACCACCGGCCCCTCTGTTACCCTTTCTGCCATATCTCCTGGATGTTATTCAAGCTTCTTGGAAAACCCCATCCTCCATCCCTCCTACTTCTAAGAAGGTTGAGGCCTGATACCGAACTGATGACGAGGGCCTAGAATGGCTGAAACACCACCCCGACCCTAACTCTGAGGTAGTGAAGGCTGCGCAAGCGTTCGGGAGGCAATTCTCGACCCCCTCAGACCAGAAGGGAATGAGGTTCGACGCAGTGGGCCGAAAACTATTCGGGTGCCCTCTTGTTTGCCAGAATGGCCAACTATGGCACCTGTATGGGGGCTTACCAACAGATCCTGTGGGGAAAAGCCATGCCCTTCGTCCAGTGGATGTTGGAAGAAGACCGCACCGTCCTGACCACCCTGGCCCAGGAGGCAAACTCTTTGGCGCATCACCAGATGCAGATGGCCAAGCACACAGGAGACATGGCCGGGAAGATGATTGCTCATGCGGTCGCTGTCAGAAGACACGCCTGGCTCCGATTTTCCGACCTCTCGACATCATCAAGGCAGGTCAACGAGGACTTACCCTTCGACGCCCTCAGTCTCTTTAATGCGGGGACTGATGACAAATTAAAGGCGAATCAGGACTTTAAAATACTGGCAGCCAAGTGCGGGATTGAGAACCAATCTCAATCCCAAAGAAGGTGGTTCCAGTACTCGAGGTGGCGCAGTGGAGCTCCTTACTGACAGTTCCAGTATTGTCAAACCTTTCACCCCCTTCAGACTGCACAGCGGCAGACTCACCAACCACAGCAGCCTCAACAGCATCAACCACAACCGCAACAACAACGGTCGAGGTCCCGCCAAGTGTCGGGAGGAAACCATCCCAGGCGCCGTGTTTGATGCTCTCCTGGACGATACCGTCTCCTTATCTGGTACAGATGCCGTTCCCATGTCCCTCCCTTCAATCCCCATCCTCGAATCTCGACCTTGACACCTGCCGTTTGGTGACCGCCTTGCAAGTTTCGTCGATGCATGGAGAAGTATCACCTCCGATGCATGGGTGCTAATTGTGGAGGAGGGTTATGCATTGGAGTTCAAGGAACTCCCACCAGCAGGACAGATCGTCGAAACCGAATCCTCCTCTCCAATCCTGTCGGAGGTTGACACCCTTCTTCTAAAAGGAGCTATTTCTCCCCCGCCACACTGCTACAAAAGGCAGGCCTTCTTCTCCAAATATTTCACCGTCCCCAAGTTGGATGGTTCCCTCCGCCCAATCCTGGACCCAAGAGACCTCAACTCCCTCATCAGACCTCAGAAGTTCAGAATGGTGATGGTGTCGTCCATACTTCCCCTCCTCAAACATGGGGACTTCTTCACATCCATCGACCTCTGGGACGCTTATTTTCACCTCTCAATTCGAAGGCACCACAGACGCTTTCTTGCCTTTCGGGTTGCAGGACAGACATACTCCTTCAATGTGCTCCCGTTCGGGCTCATAACGGCCCCAAGGACTTTCACGAAATGCATGTCGGTGGTCGCTGCGGCTTTCAGAAAGGAAAAGATCCGATTTTTTCCATATTTGGATGATTGGTAGCTGTTATCACGTTCCCCAGCACTCCTAAGGTCACAAATCCAAAGAACAGGCTCCCTCCTCAGCGATCTCGCCCTCCAGTTGAACAAAGAAAAGTCGCACTTGACTCCAACGACGTACATAAAGTTCATCGGCGCCATGTTCGATTTGCTGACCCAGTCTGTTTACCTTCCCAACGCAAGATTCAGGGGGCTCTGCATCGAGACACTCCGAGGCATTCGGTCTTGAACGGTATCGGCCAAGCAAATCCAAATCCTGCTTAGCCACATGGCTTCCACGGTGATGGTGACCCTGTTGGGAATCAAGAGCTGTTAGTTTCAAAAATAACCCTCTCTGGGGGCGATTCCACCAAAAATATAGCAGAGTGCAGGGTGCACAGTAAATAAGCAGAATAAACTTATATGTAGTGAGCAAGGATTGACTTCCATTCAGCAGGATGGAACAGGATTGCAGATCCAAAACTCATAGGATCAAAAATAATATGTTTATTAAAGATAAAAGAAATCCATTCTAGATAGGAAAGGTTCTTGGAGCTAACTAGCTTCACTGAGCTATCATCTAAGGTAAAAGAAAAAAGAAAAATTATAAAAATAACTATTTCTACTACATCTTTGACTGGACAATGGCAAGATGCTTCCTCACTCTAGAGAAGACAAAAGGAAGAGGCCTGAAAAATGGAGACAGACCACATGGCCCAGCCCAGGGCAATAAAAATACCTTTAAAAGAGGAAGTTACGTTTCCATATAGGATTACATTCCTAGGTATTCAAATGGGGAGGGGATAGTACCATGCAAAGATAAGTGAGACAATTCCCCCTTCTTAACCCCTTCTTAACCAACTTAACTACAGGAAATTGGGGAGGAATCCCTAAGTCTATCTCGGCTATCTACTCATTGAGAGCTGGAGACTTGTGCAGTCAGGGATGAAACCCAACAGACCCCACTGGCAAGGCTTCGGTTCAGACCTCTTCAAAGGTAGTTCCTCGACCACTTCAACCCGATCAGAGACCATACGTCAAAGTGCCTCACCGTTCCGCCAGCCGTGCGAAAATCCTTGAAATGGTGGACAGATCGTCACTGTGTCTGCAAGGGCATTCCTTTCCATCCCGAACCCCCATCCATCACCCTCACTACAGATGTGTCGATGTTCGCATGGGGATGCCATACAGGAGAACTCTCCGTCCAACCCTCTGGTCTGCAGAGAGGCTGTGCCACATCAACTATCTAGGACTTCTGGCAATCTTCAAATCCCTGAAGTAGTACCCATTAGTATAAATCTGAAAGTGATTATATTTAATATTTTAAAATATTGCCTAAAATACTGTAATTCACATGTAATACCGTATTTATTGCATAATAGTCACATAATAGTATTACATAAAAGTTGCACCCTTAATTGAGGATTCACCTGCCCACGTGCCTGTCCTCTTGGTACTACAAGGATTGCATTGTCTGTCAGTCTAGGCCAAACTAATCTGCGGAGGCATTCCCAAGGCTCTCTTCTTGACAAGGCAAGCCCTGTAACACCAAGGAAAGGAGGTAGGCGCACTGGGAAATGAAGGTTCGGATTCCTGTGCACCTATGAGATGTATTTTTTCACCACATAATAGTTTCACACACACCCCCTTCATATTTTATCCCATTTTTTTCAGAAAAAAAGGGGTATGACCATTATGCGAATAAAAATGTGCCTGAAATACAAACCAGAGCCACCTGGGTCTGAGACCTTCCCTCTCTTACCTCTGAGGAAAGAGGAGGAAGAAAATCCAGCCAGGACCTTTCGTATTTCTCTTTTAAAAATGCCTTACATCCAAGGAAGCATAAGGGAGAAAGGAGAGCTTCAGATCCAGCTGGCTTATGTGACAATTAATCAAGAAATGGCAAGAAACCAATTTTGGAATCCCAAAGTGGGATGCGACTATTGTGTAGTGGCAACCTACGTAGTGAATTATGGTATTCCAAAGCACCTGTTTACTCTATGGAGGTTTTTTGTTTTGTTTTGTTTTTGCTCATTTTGCACCTGTCAAGAAGTTTTGAACTTCGTTTATACAATAAAGTTGATCCACTTTCCTAAATATTTTTTTTCTTTTTTGCAGGCCTTCAACCATGGTCCAATGTCATGGAGATTTTGGAGGAAAAAGATGGAGTTGACACAGAACTTCTAGTTTATACGATGACTTTAGTGAACAAGGTTTGTTTTTGCTTGGAGTTTATATGTTCTGATATATAGAACTATTACTGCTGACACTTATATTTGAGACCAAATGGAAATGTTTCCCTCATGTTTATATGAAATATGACTAAATGTTTATATTAATAACAAATTACAGTTCTCTCCATGCACATTCTGTAGTGCTTAACTGTCTCTTATTCTGCAGCTATTAAATACTTCTCTTTCCCACAAGTCTAGTATAGGAGAAGTTGCTGGGTGAATGTTATCTCAGGTGCAAGCGCGTGAATCCTCTTGGGGTCTGTGTAATTACCCAAACCGAAATTATTCAAGAAATGAATTGCCCCGAAAGAAAAACGGTTGACTTATAAAGACTTATTGATATTAGACAATGAACAATCTATCTATTCTATATACATAATAAAAGTCAAAATGTGTATTTGTGTATGTTGCGGAGGTGTCCACTTACACAGACAGGTTCCTGCCTCCACAAACAGCTATAGCTCCTATTATGCAAGAAACACCAGTAGCCTTCCCTCCAAGGTTATATTGCAGGTTATGTGTGCGCCACATCCCAGTGTTCCTTTCTTTCTCCATTGGTGTTTTTGCATGACCCTGCCCACTGCCTCTACCTTACTCCTTTCCTATTCTTTTATATGGTGCACAGCAAACAGATCAGAATTCATCAGCAACTGAAGATACTGGAGGGGTTTGGGAGCCTGACTCAACATGATGGAAATGGTAGTTCACACTGCATCAAGACATAGCACTCTGACCTGCACCAGCAATGGACCTGGACCACATTTGGCACACCGACCCACCATGACCAAGTTTTTTTTATTATTTATTTATTTATTTATTATTTAAACTTATATGCCGCCACTCCCCTGGGGCTTGGAGCAGCTTACAAGACTAGCTAAAATCTAACAAAATTTAAAAGCAATTTAAAAGAATTTAAAAACAACACTATCAAACATTAAAAGCCTGTCGAAACAGGTATGTCTTACATGCCCTGCAGAAAGCTGGTAAGTCCCTCAAGGCACGGACTTCAGGAGGCAGAGTATTCCAGAGTAATGGTGCCACTGCTGTGAAGGCTCTGCATCTGGTTGCTGTTAGACACAAGGTCTTGACACTGGGGACTTCCAATAGATCTTGATCCTCAGAACGGAGGGGTCTCTGGGGTTGGTAGGGCGTGAGGCGGTCCCTAGATACATCGGCCCCAGACCATGCAAGGCCTTAAAAGTGAGTACCATCACTTTGAAAGTAATCAATTGGTAGCCAATGCAGCTGTAGTAAGATTGGTGTTATGTGGCATCTCATCGGAATTCCCGCAAGAAGCCGAGCAGCTGCATTTTGTACCAACTTGAGCTTCCAGATCACCGACAGAGGAAGGCCAATGTAGAGGACGTTACAGTAGTCCAGTCTTGAGATGACCGTGGCCTGGATCACCATAGCTAAGTCGTCCCTGGACAGGTAGGGGGCCAGCCGTCTAGCCTGCCGTAGATGAAAGAAAGCGGTTCTGCTAACGGTGGAGACCTGGGCTTCCATCGTCAGCAGAGGGTCCAGAAGGACTCCCAGACTCTTTACCAGTGATGACAGGCGTAGTGCCTCGCCATCCAGGGTAGGCAGCTGGATGTCCCCACTGCCCGGTCGACCCAGCCATAGGATCTCCGTCTTTGCTGGATTCACCCTCAACCTGCTGGCACACAACCATCTAGTAACGGCCTTGAGGCACTGATGGAAACAATCAGGTACAGAGTCCGGTCGGCCTTCCATCTTCAGCACAAGCTGAGTGTCATCGGCGTACTGATAACAATCAAGCCCAAAACCTCGAACCAGCTGAGCAAGTGGTCGCATATAGATGTGTAATAACAGAGGGGAGAGAATGGCCCCCTGAGGAACCCCACAAGATAGAGGGGACCTCTCAGAGACCAGGCCTCCCCTCTCCACTCGCTGTCCACGGTTGTGAAGAAAGGAGGACAGCCAGTTTAAAGCTGTCCCCCTGACTCCAGCAACAGCAAGGCGGTGGGTCAAAAGATTGTGGTCAACTGTGTCAAATGCTGCTGTGAGATCCAATAACACAAGCAGTGCTGACCCACCCTGGTCAAGCTGGCATCGAAGGTGATCCGTGATGGAGACCAGCACAGTCTCTGTCCCATGCCCCGCACGGAAGCCGGACTGGAAGGGATCTAGTCCGGCTGTGTCGTCTAGGAATTGCTGCAACTGCTCCCCTGCTGCCCTCTCAATCACCTTGCCCAGGAACGAGAGATTCGAAACTGGGCGGTAACTGGAGGGAACCGAAGGATCTAAATCTGGTTTCTTCAGCAGGGGAGAGACCACCGCCTCTTTTAAACCCTCTAGAAAAACGCCTTGCTCAAGGGAACTGTTTATAATCTTCAACAGACGGTCGCGTAATCCCTCCAAGCAGGATTTCACCAGCCAAGAGGGACACGGATCGAGGGAGCAAGTGGTCGGTCTGGCTGCAGCTATGAGCCTATCGACAGCCCCTGCGTCCAGCGGGATGAACCGGTCGAGGATGGGTCCAGCAAGTGGCCACGGAGTCTCAAGTTCTCTCACTGTATCGATTGTAGCGGGGAGGTCCCGGCGAAGTAGCGAGATCTTGTCTGCAAAGTAGCTCTGAAAAACCTCGGCTGAAGGGGCCTGATCACCACTTTTTGGGACGGTAGGAACCGTCATTAGAGATCGAATTATTTTGAACAATTTTGCCGGGCGTGAGCTAGCAGACACTATCAAAGAAGCATAATATACTCGCTTTGCCTCGGTGATAGCATGCTCGTAGGACTCCCTAAATGCCTCATAAGCTGATCTCGATGCTCCGTCACGGAGTTCTCGCCACACGCCCTCCAGCCGTCTCTTTTCCCGCTCCATCAGTCGAAGTTCCTCAGTGAACCAAGGAGACCGATTTCAGCGGGGTCGGAGAGGGCGTCTAGGGGTGATCTCGTCGAGTGCATTGGATAGCCTGATGTCCACCTGCACATCGATCGAGTCGCTGGCAGGCTCCAGATCCCTCAGAGCATTCTGAAACCTACTGGGTTCCATAAGTCTCCTTGGGCGAGCCCAAATTGGCTCGGCGCCCTTGCAGCGTGGGTAGGCATGCTCCAACCAGACTCTCAGGACACAGTGATCCGATCATGGAACCTCTATTGTGGAGGCTTGGGTCACTTGAATTCCTGCACTGAAAATCAAATCTAGCGTGTGTCCCGACCGATGCATGGGCCCAGTACTACAAAGCGAGAGTCCTAGTGTCTCCATGGTAGACACTAGGTCCACAGCCGCTAATGAACAAGAGTCTGCATCAGCGTGAACATTGAAATCCCCTAAGACGATAAGTCTGGGGAACCTCAAGGACCACTCCAACACAGTCTCAAGCAGTTGGGATAGGCTGTCTGCTGGTGCGCTAGGCGCACGGTACACCAGCAGAAAGACTGTGCTCTCACAGGAACCCCACACCAGGCCAACACTTTCAATGCCAGAGATGCTCAGCACAGGGACTGCCCTAAGAGAAAAACTTTCTCAGGCGAGCATAGCCACCCCACCCCCGCCTCCCAGTCCGCATCTGGTGAGTGATTGCATAACCTGGAGATGTTATTTCCTGGAGTAGGGTCTCATCCCCCTCTTGGATCCAAGTTTCTGTAATACACACTAGGTCAGCTCCCTGATCATTAAGAAAATCCCTGATGATGGCAGTTTTGTTCCTTATGGACCTAGCATTCACTAACACCAGAGTAGGAGGGGAGGAAACTGGTTGCCTGTACCTGGGAATAGGCCGCAGGTCAGAAGGGGGCCGAGTCTCCCGCTGACTCAACCTCCCTTTAGTATTCGGCCTGCACCTACCGTCATGCTTCCCCCTCCCAGAGATTGTAGGAATCCCCATGCATAGACCTACTTCTCTTGGAGGCTCTGCAGCACAGATTAGGTGCCCAGTGTTCGACTGGCCATCTGAAAAGCCAGTTAACAAGTAGTCATAAGTGGGGCCCTCAGAGTTGTGAGGAGCAGGTGTAAAGGCCAGAGCACCCGGCCAGCATTGTGGGTTTTGGTGGAATTGACTTTAATTTATAAGAGTTGTAGTTCACATACATCCAGAAAGCACTGTGAACCCAGCCAATGGTGGATCTGGACCAAACCTGCAATGGATGATGTGCCAAATGTGGTCCAGGTCCATTGCAGTACCTTCACTCAGTTCCAGAGACCCCCCACGAATGACTGACCTGGACCAAACTTGGCACACAGACGCACCCACCCCCCAAGACCCACTATAAATCCTGGTGCGGTTTGGGGAGGATTGACCACAGATTATGGGATTTGCAGTACCTTCACCCAATTCAGCTCCAGCTTCCACAAACCACTGCAACCCCCATAAATAACGGATCTGGGTGGAACTTGGCACACAGACTTTCCATAATGAACTGGAGAAGTTTGAGGGACATTGACATAGATTTATGGGGTTATAGTTCACCTGCATCCAGTGAAACTGTGACTCGATCGACAATGAACTGAGACTATACTTGACACAGAAAAGCCCCATGACCAATTGAATATACTACTGGGGATTGTGGGAATTGACCTTGATTCTGGGAGTTGTAGTTCACCCTTATCCAGAAAGCATTGAACCCAGACGACATCAGATCTTGACCAAACTTGGCACACAGACTCAATATAGCCAACTGGGAATACAGGCAAGGTATGTGGCTGATAGCCCTGGTAATCTGGGACTCGTAGTTCACCCTTATCCAGAGAGCACTTAACTGAGCCGACATTGTATCTGGACCAAACTTGGCACACAGACCCAACATGGCCAACTGTGCATACAGGACTGGTTTGGGGGTGATTGTCCTTGGCATATGGGAGTTGTAGTCCACCCTTATCCAGAGAACACTGAAACCAGCCAACAATGGATCTGGACCACACTTGACACGCACACCCAACATGGTCAACTATGAATGCAGGTGAGGTTTGGGGGTGATTAGCCCATGATTTTGGGAATTGCAGTTCACCAAAATCCTTACGCATTTTCTAATTGGAGCATTCATAAACAAACAACAGGAAAGACTGGCTTTTTTTTCTAAGAAAGACACCTAAAAATTACCAAACCGATATTACTTAACATCCAAAAACAAAGAAATTTTCAAATAACCCAGGCACCATCAGGTCCTCAAGCTTGTTTAGAATAAACACTACTTAGATGGTATCTAACTCCCATTAGATTAAATCAGATTGATAAAAAATACTCAAATCAGTATTGGAGAGGTGTCAGGAAATAGAGACATATCTTCATATGTGGTGGTCATGTAAAATTACCCCCAAAAATTGGGAAAGTATTTTTAAAGAAATAAGAGCTATAATAAAATAGAGATCAAGACTACACCAAAATTAGCGTTATTACTTATACATACTTTACTTATTACTTATACATATTACTTTCTCACAAGAGGAGAAAGAATTGATTTCTAATCTGATAACAGCAGCTAAATTGTTAATAGAAAAAAACTGGAAAGAAAAAAAGAAATTCAATTAGAAGAATGGTATAGGGAAATTTGGAATATAGCTATTAATTATATGCTAACTTGCAATATTAAAATTAAAAGGGGAATATGGAAACAAACAGATTTATCAAAAACAAGTCACGCCAGACTAATCTGGTTTCTTTTTTCAATAGTGTTACAAGCTGGGTAGATTCAGAGAATGCCGTAGATATAGCGTATCTGGATTTCAGTAAGGCCTTTGACAAGGTCCCCTATGACCTTCTGGCAAACAAACTAGTCAAATGTGGACTAGGCAAAACTACGGTTAGGTGGATCTGTCATTGGTTAAATGAATGAATCCAAAGGGTGCTCACCAATACTTCTTCTTCAACCTGGAAAGAAGTGACGAGCGAAGTGCCATCAGCAGGGTTCCGTCCTGGGCCCATCTGGATGGCCATCTCTCAGGGGTGCTTTGAATGCAATTGTCCTGCTTCTTGGAAGGGGGTGGATGGTCATCTCTCAGGGGTGCTTTGAAAGCAATTGTCCTACTTCTCGGCAGGGGGTTGGACTGGATATCCCATGAGGTCTCTTCCAACTCTATGATTCTATGATTCTATGAACAATGGAAAAGGTTCTGGACAAAGAGTTTGAAATTTACACTGAATAATGACTTGAATGAAAATTTCTATAAAATGATGTATAGATGGCATCTGACACCAGATAGAATTGCTAGAATGTATATAAATAGTTGAAGTGATTGTTGGAAATGTGGGGGAAAGGTAAACATCTTTTACCATATGTGGTAGTCACATAAAAGAGCCCCAAAATACTAGGCACAAACACCTATGATATTACAAGAAATTTTTAAAGTTAAATTTGAAATGAAAGCTGAACTCCATGTGCTTGGAGAGTTAGATGATAGAACCAATAGAAAATGTGTAAGGCTATTGCTATATGTGACAACAGTAGCAAGAATTATCTATGCTCAAAATTGGAAAGACTCGATTCCGTTGCAAGAGAATTTGCTTATGAAAATAATTGAACTTGCAAAAATGTATACACTTACTCTGTTAATCAAGGAGAGATCTTTAAAAAACTTTAACAAAGACTAGGCCCATTCAGTATGTTTCTCTAGCAAAGATGGGGTCAGGACTCCATCAGAAGGACTAGAAGAGTGTTATTATTTGGGGAAGGATATATCAATGGTTCTTTTTTATTTAACGGGTGTAGCATATTGAGAGACTATAATAATCAGAGAAGGTAAAGACTTTTGATTATATAATGTAAATTATATGTAATTAATGTTTCTGACGCTTACACATTTTGTTAGTTTGCACGTTTATATGTAGGTTTTGTATTAATTTTTAAAGATCTCAAAATTAATTATAAACAATAAAAGAAAAGCCTACAATGTCAAATATCCTTGTTAAAGGGCTTTCTGTGTTGTGAGTGGAAGACTTGAGGAAGAATATGGTTAATGTTGAGTGATCTTCCTTGTCTGTTTTCATGCAGTCCATTGTAAAAAGATGAAATGTGTGATCCATATCCAAATGGATTGGTCTGGTGGCTGCCACTTCTTGATCAGTGGATATGAAGAAAATTGTATTGAAAGTATTTTCTCAAGTTGTTATTATTCTTATTTATACCCTGCTTTATCTCCCCAAAGGGGGTTCAAAGCAGCTTGAAATAAAAACATTACTATACAATATAAATATGCAAAAATTAAACTAGAATTAAACACAAACAACACACAAATATTCACAGTTAAAAATTATGCAGTGGTACCTTTTTAATACAAAAACAGTGTGCACAGGAACAGCTGCAGAAATATTTGAAATATTAGCCCAGCAAATATTACAGTAGTTTATAGTCGTTTAAGTCTTTTTACATTCATCAAGTTGAACAAAGTGATCCCCAGGGTCTGCATGCTCTTCCTACCCATTTTTTTAAAAAAGGGTTTTTTTTAATGTTTTCAATAAGTATTAAATACATAACATTATTTATTTATTTATTTATTTAGAAACATTTATATTCCACCCTTCTCTCTCCAAAGGGAACTCGGGGTGGAGCACAACATATATACGGCAAGCATTCCATGCCAGAACAAAAATAACTATATATACATAAACATTAAAATCACTTATATCTACTTTAAAATCAGCTGTCTAAAACCATCTCAAAACATCATGCTGGCTCCAGTCAGCAGAATAGGTTTCCTATTATTGCCTCATTGCACTGTCCCAAAGCCTTGGTCCAACAGCCAGGTCTTTACCATCATTCTGAAAGACAGGAATGAAGGGGCTGATCTAATCTCACCAGGAAGGGAGCTCCATAGCTAGGGAGGGGGCAATCACTGAGAAGGCCTGACAGATGCGCCTGTGACGGTGGCGGGACTGAGAGCAGGGCCTCCCCAGAAGATCTTAGTCTTCGTGGTGGTTCATAAAGGGAGATCAGATAGGATTACAGTTTGAGATTGTATTCACAAATCGTTTCACAGTTTTACAAGAAAAATTGTGAAATGTTCTCTCACATTTAATATCTAATGGTCAATGGCACAGGACATAGTGGCCAGCCTAGGTGCCAGAATGATGTGGATTGCAGCGTTATGGTTACAGTCACTCAAAAATCAAAGAACGGGGGTTAGTAATATATGAAAAAGGTTTGTCCTTTTTTAATGGCCTGAATATAGCAAATATATTCTCTCTCTTTGGGCTGAACTGTGAATGCAGTAATCTTCTCTCCAAAGCCATAGAGAGAACCCAGTTTAGGAAAGTTTTTTTTTAATTTCTCAAACTTTTTCTCTTTTTTACTCATGTGCTTTGTATCCTTTCATTCACTCTTTCAATTCAGTGCAGTGGCTAAGTGCATACAGGGAAACTTCTCTCAATTTTAATCAAAAAGTAAAGACATAAGGCAGAGGAAATCTCATCATTAAGTTTAATGGCATTTACTTCCTAGGAAAATGCCCTTAAATATTGTTTGAGTCCAACTGTTGCTTATTCTGCCCAATAATTTATTACATTTTCCATCACACCGCATTGAAATCTTACCTGACTGGTTTTCTCCTGAAGATCCACACTGGCAAATGTCTAGCAATTCAGAAGAAAAAAATGACATACATTTTATTTTTATTTCCAGACTTTGTCTGGCTTACCAGACCAGGATGCCTTCTATGATGTAGTTGACTGTCTAGAGGAACTGGGGATGGAAGCTATTTCCCAGAAACACTTGAACAAGAAAGGAGCAGACTTGGACTTAGTAGAGCAATTCAACATTTATGAGGTAACCTTGCACAACCTTGGTATACTGGATATATAGAGGAACTGTATCCAAGATATGATTAACTTACCGTATATACTCAAGTATAAACCAAGTTTTCAACCTTTTTTCTCTATTTATTATTGTTATTATTACATTTATTATTTTACTCTATTTCTTATTATTCTTGTCATTATTACATTGTTATTTTACTCTATTATTATTACATTTATTATGTTATTCTATTATTACTGTTATTATTACATTTCCATTATTTTACCCTATGATTATTATTTTATTACATTTATTATTTTACTCTCTTTATTATTCATGGAAGGATACGTAAGTTCATTTACACTGAAGAAGTGTAGAATAATGGTTTAATCAGAGTCAGGCAGACTTTTCTTACAGTTTTATGTAAATATTCAAAAATATTTAACCAACTGATGCCTCAATTAATGTAATTTTATTGGTATATATTTTTATTTTGAAATTTGTTGTGGTTCAGACAGATGAAGATGAGGGGATTGGGGTTTTAGAGTCAGGGAGAGTGGTGGATGGTTCTTTCTATTAGGGAAATGAGGGGATTTCAGAGCAAGATTCTATCTGTGAGACAGAGTATGAAAGTGGAATTGTTTTGGAGTTCAGCAGACAGGGAGAGGACCTTTCAGCCACAAGGAGATTAACAACCCTAATAAACACCTGGCAGACCAAGATAGCTTGTCTGATGGAACAACTGGGTTAGACAGGGATATCTAGTTGGATCTGAGAGGGAAAAAACAAAAGGCACCAGAAATCCAAAAGAATCTGTGAGAAAGAAGTGCAGAGAACATTTCATAAGCCAGAACCTCCGGGTCAAAGAAATGCCTTCATGTTTTGCAGCCCTTAAATTAGAGAGCATCTTGCTGAGATTTCAGATTAAGCAACATTGCTTTATAGTAAGGATATCAAGTCCTATTTCCAGTTCAAGTTCCTCAGAATTTTGATTCGTGTTTTAAAAAGTTCTGGATTCATGTTCACGCGTCCTTGGATTATGCTCATGTTATGATTCTTGTTTTCCTGTACCATTTGTCTTATTTGGATTATTGCCTTTGAAGGCAATATGAGAAGATGGTGCCAAGCTAGCTGGGCCATCTGTAATGATCCTGGAGGCAAACTGGAAATCCAATGTAATCCTCCCTTCTGAGCTCCTCCTGTAACTTGATTGCCCTGGTTTGACCACCAGAGGTATTGGGGGGATGATCTGGTGTGGTTAGGCAATGGAGAAACAGATTGGAAAGAGGAGAAAGATTGAACACAACTGCTGCCACCATGCCATTATGGCCTGGCACTCCCCAATGAACACCTGGAACTTTGGAGGTCCCTTTTAACATCTGGGGCTCCCATTCCTCCGGGGACACTTGCCTTGTTCCTATTGCAGCTGCGAGCGGGCTACATCTTGCCGCCACAATTGAGGCTGCTGAGATTGGGCCTTCCTCCGCCTCCTCCACCAACAGTGAACCACCTTCATTGTTTCTTCGGGCTGCTATTTTTCTGAGGCTACTGTTCCCTGGCCTGCCGGGGAGTTGGAGCCTGGATGCTGACTTGTCTTAAGCAGTGAGTGCTGGCCAGTTGACTGTTTGCCATCGCAGCAGCTTCATCGACTGGACATCGAGAGGGAGAAGCCAAGCACCAGGAACCATTCTGATTACAGTGCTGCTGCTGTTGTTGCTGCCTGCTGTTCTCAAGTGTTACTGGCTTTCCTTCTTCTGGCTCCTGGTAGTGCTGCTGATTTGCCATCTGCTGATCAGCATCATCACTGCAGTTGCAGCTTCATGGAGGCTTCTGGTTTCCCTCCACCGTTTCTGGCATCACTATCCCATCCTGGCCAGCCTTTGCCAATTCCATTGGAACCTTTTTGGCCCTTCATTTCTGCGATCTACATGAAAGGGGCAACTCCTTCACACTGTTGGACTGGGACTGTCTAGACTTCACTTGCTATCAAACTTCCACTAGTTCAGGATTTATCATTCATCACAGCTGCCCTGCTTTTGGATCAGGATACATCACGCAGTGTTTCCCGCGGGCCCATCTACATGCCCTGACTGCTGCTAGGCCCTGCTGCAGCTCTGCCCAACTACTACAGAATGTTTATTCTGTGATCATTATGGTCCCTGAGCAGGAAAGGAAAAAAAGGGAGAAGAGCGAGGAAAGAAAGAGAGAGAGAATAGGTACAACAGAGAAAGTGAGGGAGCTGCATGGGAAATAGGAAAGGTAAGAGAGAGAGAGAAAGGCTGAAGTAGGAGTATAAAGGAAGGGGTGTAGAAAGGATTAGAAAGAAGGAGAAAATGAGAAGTGTTTAGAGCAGTGGTTCTCAATCTTTCTAATGCCATGACTCCTAAATATAGTTCCTCATATTGTGGTGACCCCCAACCAGATTTTCGTTGCTACTTCATAACTTCTACTGTTATGGATTGTAATGTAAATATCTGATATGCAGGATGTATTTTTCATTGTTACAAATTAAACAATGTTACAAATTTCTGAGAGTGCCTTGGACTGCGAGAAGATCCAACCAGTCCATCCTCCAGGAAATAAAGCCCGGCTGCTCATTGGAGGGAAGGATACTAGAGACAAAGTTGAAGTACTTTGGCCACATCATGAGGAGACAGCAAAGCTTAGAGAAGACAATTATGCTGGGGGAAGTGGAAGGTAAAAGGAAGAGGGGCCGACCAAGGGCAAGATGGATGGATGGCATCCTTTAAGTGAGTGGACTGACCTTGAAGGAGCTGGGGGTGGTGAAGGCCGACAGGGAGCTCTGGTGTGCGCTGGTCCATGAGGTCACGAAGAGTCGGAGACGACTGAACGAATGAACAACAAAAAATTGAACATACTTAAAGCATAATGATTAATCACATGTTTGGGGAAGTATGGAAAACAGATGATGGAATTTGCAAAAGAATCATAGAATCAAAGAGTTGGAAAAGACCTCATGGGCGATCCAGTCCAACCCCCCGCCAAGAAGCAGGAATATTGCATTCAAATCACCCCTGACAGATGGACATCCAGCCTCTGTTTAAAAGCTTCCAAAGAAGGAGCCTCCACCACACTCCGGGGCAGAGAGTTCCACTGCTGAACGGCTCTCACAGTCAGGAAGTTCTTCCTCATGTTCAGATGGAATCTCCTTTCTTGTAGTTTTGAAGCCATTGTTTCGCGTCCTAGTTTCCAGGGAAGCAGAAAACAAGCTTGCTCCCTCCTCCCTGTGGCTTCCTCTCACATATTTATACATGGCTATCATATCTCCTCTCAGCCTTCTCTTCTTCAGGCTAAACATGCCCAGCTCCTTAAGCCGCTCCTCATAGGGCTTGTTCTCCAGACCCTTGATCATTTTAGTCGCCCTCCTCTGGACACATTCCAGTTGTCAATATCTCTCTTGAATTGTGGTGCCCAGAATTGGACACAATATTCCAGGTGTGGTCTAACCAAAGCAGAATAGAGGGGTAGCATTACTTCCCTAGATCTAGACACTATGCTCCTATTGATGCAGGCCAAAATCCCATTGGCTTTTTTTGCCGCCACATCACATTGTTGGCTCATGTTTACCTTGTTGTCCACAAGGACTCCAAGATCTTTTTCACACGTACTGCTCTCGAGCCAGGCAGTCCCCCATTCTGTATCTTTGCATTTCATTTTTTCTGCCAAAGTGGAGTATCTTGCATTTGTCACTGTTGAACTTCATTTTGTTAGTTTTGGCCCATCTCTCTAACCTGTCAAGATCGTTTTGAATTCTGCTCCTGTCCTCTGGACTATTGGCTATCCCTCCCAATTTGGTGTCGTCTGCAAACTTGATGATCATGCCTTCTAGCCCTTCATCTAAGTCATTAATAAAGATGTTGAACAGGACCAGGACCAGGATGGAACCCTGCGGCACTCCACTTGTCACTTCTTTCCAAGATGAAGAGGAAGCATTGGTGAGCACCCTCTGGGTTCGTCCATTTAACCAATTACAGATCCACCTCACCGTAGTTTTGCCTAGCCCACATTGGACTAGTTTCCTTGCCAGAAGGTCATGGGGGACCTTGTTGAAGGCCTTACTGAAATCCAGGTACGCTACATCCACAGCATTCCCTGCATCTACCCAGTTTGTAACTCTATCGAAAAAAGAGATCAGATTAGTCTGGCATGACTTGTTTTTGATAAATCCATGTTGACTATTAGCGATGACCGCATTTGCTTCTAAGTGCTTTCAGACCACTTCCTTAACAATCTTTTCCAGAATCTTGCCTGGTATCTACGTGAGGCTGACCGGACAGTAATTGTTTCGGTTGTCCTTTTTTCCCTTCTTGAAGATTGGGACCACATTGGCCCTCCTCCAATCTGCTGGAACTTCTCCCGTTCTCCAAGAACTCTAAAAGATTATTGCCAATGGTTCCGAGATGACGTCAACTATAGGGTTCCGGCCCATCTTATCTATCGGAACGTATTTCCCTCTACGCCCCTCCTCGGAATTTAAGATCTTCTGGGGAGGCCCTGCTCTCGGCCCCACCTCTATCACAAGTGAGGTTGGTGGGGACGAGGAGCAGGGCCTTCTTGGTAGTGTCCCCTCACCTGTGGAATTCACTCCCCGGGGAAATTAGGTCATCGACATCCCTCCTCTCTTTTAGAAGGAAATTAACAACTTGGATATGGGACCAGGCTTTTGGGTAATCTGGCAGATAGACAAAGCACAATTGACGACTAGAATTGATAGGATTTGACTGTGAGGGCCATTCAGCAGTGGAACTCTCTGCCCCAGAGTGTGGTGGAGGCTCCTTCTTTGGAAGCTTTTAAACAAAGGCTGGATGGCCATCTGTCAGGGGTGCTTTGAATGCAATATTCCTGCTTCTTGGCAGGGGGTTGGACTGGATGGCCCACGAGGTCTCTTCCTACTCTATGATTCTATGATTCTATGAAATGTAGCCCCAAAATGTAGTCCCAAAACACACACACACCGCAAAAGTCAAAGGAGGGAAACACACAATGATGTCTCAGTGACTTAGATGTAG